AGCACCAGGAGTCTAGCACCAGGAGTCTAGCACCAGGAGTCTAGCACCAGGAGTCTAGAGCCAGGAGTCTAGAACCAGGAGTCTAGAGCCAGGAGTCTAGAACCAGGAGTCTAGAGCCAGGAGTCTAGCACCAGGAGTCTAGAACCAGGAGTCTAGCACCAGGAGTCTAGAACCAGGACTCTAGAAACAGGAGTCTAGAGCCAGGAGTCTAGAACCAGGAGTCTAGAGCCAGGAGTCTAGAAACAGGAGTCTAGAACCAGGAGTCTAGAAACAGGAGTCTAGAGCCAGGAGTCTAGAACCAGGAGTCTAGAGCCAGGAGTCTAGAAACAGGAGTCTAGAACCAGGAGTCTAGAACCAGGAGTCTAGAACCAGGAGTCTAGAGCCAGGAGTCTAGAACCAGGACTCTAGAAACAGGAGTCTAGAGCCAGGAGTCTAGAACCAGGAGTCTAGAGCCAGGAGTCTAGAACCAGGAGTCTAGCACCAGGAGTCTAGAACCAGGAGTCTAGTGCCAGGAGTCTAGAACCAGGAGTCTAGAACCAGGAGTCTAGCACCAGGAGTCTATCACCAGGAGTCTAGTACCAGGAGTCTAGAACCAGGAGTCTAGAGCCAGGAGTCTAGAACCAGGACTCTAGAAACAGGAGTCTAGAGCCAGGAGTCTAGAACCAGGAGTCTAGAGCCAGGAGTCTAGAAACAGGAGTCTAGAACCAGGAGTCTAGAACCAGGAGTCTAGAACCAGGAGTCTCGAACCAGGAGTCTAGTACCAGGAGTCTAGCACCAGGAGTCTAGAACCAGGAGTCTAGAACCAGGAGTCTAGCACCAGGAGTCTAGAACCAGGAGTCTAGTGCCAGGAGTCTAGAACCAGGAGTCTAGAACCAGGAGTCTAGCACCAGGAGTCTAGAACTAGGAGTCTAGCACCAGGAGTCTAGAACCAGGAGTCTAGAAACAGGAGTCTAGAACCAGGAGTCTAGAACCAGGAGTCTAGAACCAGGAGTCTTGAACCAGGAGTCTAGTACCAGGAGTCTAGCACCAGGAGTCTAGAACCAGGAGTCTAGCACCAGGAGTCTAGCACCGGGAGTCTAGAACCAGGAGTCTAGAACCAGGAGTCTAGAACCAGGAGTCTAGCACCAGGAGTCTAGTACCAGGAGTCTAGCACCAGGAGTCTAGAACCAGGAGTCTAGCACCAGGAGTCTAGCACCAGGAGTCTAGAACCAGGAGTCTAGAACCAGGAGTCTAGCACCAGGAGTCTAGAGCCAGGAGTCTAGTGCCAGGAGTCTAGAACCAGGAGTCTAGAACCAGGAGTCTAGAACCAGGAGTCTAGCACCAGGAGTCTAGAACCAGGAGTCTAGCACCAGGAGTCTAGTACCAGGAGTCTAGTACCAGGAGTCTAGCACCAGGAGTCTAGCACCAGGAGTCTAGAACCAGGAGTCTAGCACCAGGAGTCTAGTACTAGGAGCAGTGGGCAGCTATTGTACAGCGCCCGGGGAGCAATGGGAGTGAGGGGGGAAGGGAGATGTCCGGTGCCTTGCTCAAGGGCACCACGGCAGGGCAGGAGGTGGACTGAGACCTCTCCAAGTAGCAGTCCACACTCCATATTTAGGTCTGGTCGGGGACTTGAACCGGCGACCCTACAGCTCCCAGTCCAAGCCCCTACTGACTGAGCCACTCCCGGACATTGAGCCAGTGCCGGTTGTTAATCTAACAAAAATTACAACCTAAAAATATTTTGAAATTTTTAGGAATATTTCATGTTGTTTTCATTATTTGTACCTTTAAGTCAGAAGTTCTTTATTTATTTTCAGAGTTTTTTAAACCTGGCCAAGTTCCCTTTCCTGGTTTAATGAAATCACGACTCATCTAAATGAATTGGTTATTTATAACGATCAGAAAAAAGTGCGTAATTTCCCCGAACTTCAGACATTTAGCTAAACCCCAAAAATAATTTCAAGTATTTCTACGAGACAAAGTGATTATTATACAGTTTCAATATAAAGATACATAAGATATATAAGTTATAGATATATATATAATATAAAGTATTTCCTGCGGATCTTACCCCATCGGAGACGTTAGCGAGGCGGAGAGACTCGGGTTCTGACTCGCTGACTCCAGTCCCCAAGCTTTTAGCAGGAAATCTGAGAGCTGATTGGAAGAGGAAGCTGTGACATCACCGTGTATTCAAGTGAATCAGGTGACCAATCAATTAGCAGGAAATCAATGATGTCTTTCACACACACCAAAACCCACACAGACCCACACACACTGAGGCACATTGTAACACACCAATGTACAAAACACACACACACACACACACACTAATATACAGTACACAGACACACACACACACACACACACTAATATACAGTACACAGACACACACACACACACACACACACACACACACACACTAATATACAGTACACAGACACACACACACACTAATATACAGTACACAGACAGACACACACACACACACACACACTAATATACAGTACACAGACACACACACACACTAATATACAGTACACAGACACACACACACACTAATATACAGTACACAGACACACACACACACACACACACACACACACACACTAATATACAGTACACAGACACACACACACACACTAATATACAGTACACACACACTTTTTGGGCCGCTTCTGGATATTTAGAGATACCTGTTGGATTTCTGAAGGTGGACTTCCTGGATGTGTGTATGTGTGTGTGTTGGTTGCTGTATGTCAGTGTCTCAGTGTGTATGCAGTGTGTGTTCATGTGTCTCAGTGTGTTTGTGTGTGTGAGTGTGTGTCAGTGTGCTTCAGTGTGTGTCTCGGTATGTGTGTGTGTGTGTGTGTGTGTGTGTGTGTGTGTGTGTGTGTTAATGTGTATAGGCATGTGTGTGTGTGTGTGTGTGTGTTAATGTGTATAGGCATGTATTTGTGTGTGTGTGTGTGTATCTAGTGTTTCTGTGTCCGTTTGTGTTGGTGTGTCTGTTTGTTGATATGTGGAACCTACTTGAGCAGGTCTCCCTTGAAAAAGAGATCAATGATCTCAATGGGATACAACCTGGATAAATAAAGGTTTGAAATGTGTGTGTATAGGCATTTGTGTATGTGTATCGTCGCTGTGTGAGTTTGTCAGTGTGTCTCAGTGTGTATGTGTGTGTGTGTGTGTGTGTTTCATGCAGTGCGTCACTGTCCTCACCACAGAGCAGGAGAGCTCAGACTCCTCTGACAGAACAGTGTTCTCTCCTCAGAGGGTTTTCCCAGAATCAGAGCACAGATCAGCCTTTCATGTTACATCACATTACATGACATGATACTTGTTAGACGCTTTTATCCAAAGAGACTTGCATACTCAATTCTGTGGACAATCCCCTCAGGAGCACTTTGGGGTGAAGTGTCTCAGGGACACAACGACATGCTGACTGCTGTGGGGTTTGAACCTGTGCTCCCCTGATCCCAACACCAACGCACTATCCACTGCGCCACCCGCCTCCCTCATATATACCGTCTTCATCTTCATCTTCATCTCCATCAGGGTGGGAGAACCCTCCGTGGGAAACACTGAAGTTCCTGAGTCAGTCATTATTATTATATTCTATTACACAGGAGAGGACTCTTTAAAGTAGAGACACTACATACTGATATACACCTGAACATCAGCAGGAGAGGACTCTTTAAAGTAGAGACACTACATACTGATATACACCTGAACATCAGCAGGAGAGGACTCTTTAAAGTAGAGACACTACATACTGATATACACCTGAACATCAGCAGGAGAGGACTCTTTAAAGTAGAGACACTACATACTGATATACACCTGAACATCAGCAGGAGAGGACTCTTTAAAGTAGAGACACTACATACTGATATACACCTGAACATCAGCAGGAGAGGACTCTTTAAAGTAGAGACACTACATACTGATATACACCTGAACATCAGCAGGAGAGGACTCTTTAAAGTAGAGACACTACATACTGATATACACCTGAACATCAGCAGGAGAGGACTCTTTAAAGTAGAGTCGCTACATACTGATATACACCTGAACATCAGCAGGAGAGGACTCTTTAAAGTAGAGACACTACATACTGATATACACCTGAACATCAGCAGGAGAGGACTCTTTAAAGTAGAGACACTACATACTGATATACACCTGAACATCAGCAGGAGAGGACTCTTTAAAGTAGAGACACTACATACTGATATACACCCTGAACATCAGCAGGAGAGGACTCTTTAAAGTAGAGACACTACATACTGATATACACCTGAACATCAGCAGGAGAGGACTCTTTAAAGTAGAGACACTACATACTGATATACACCTGAACATCAGCAGGAGAGGACTCTTTAAAGTAGAGACACTACATACTGATATACACCTGAACATCAGCAGGAGAGGACTCTTTAAAGTAGAGACACTACATACTGATATACACCTGAACATCAGCAGGAGAGGACTCTTTAAAGTAGAGACACTACATACTGATATACACCTGAACATCAGCAGGAGAGGACTCTTTAAAGTAGAGACACTACATACTGATATACACCTGAACATCAGCAGGAGAGGACTCTTTTAAAGTAGAGACACTACATACTGATATACACCTGAACATCAGCAGGAGAGGACTCTTTAAAGTAGAGACACTACATACTGATATACACCTGAACATCAGCAGGAGAGGACTCTTTAAAGTAGAGACACTACATACTGATATACACCTGAACATCATCAGGAGAGGACTCTTTAAAGTAGAGACACTACATACTGATATACACCTGAACATCAGCAGGAGAGGACTCTTTAAAGTAGAGACACTACATACTGATATACACCTGAACATCAGCAGGAGAGGACTCTTTAAAGTAGAGACACTACATACTGATATACACCTGAACATCATCAGGAGAGGACTCTTTAAAGTAGACATATCCACAGGTTGAACTCCTTTAAAGGAAACAAAGGAGACGTGAGACGAGGCGTTCATGGCTAACTCGTTATTTTTATTTGCACGTCCGATTAGTGTTTACAAAGCTAACGCTAGGTTAGCATGGTCCGGTCACAGCAGGGGGGGGGGGGCTCACACACACTGAAGCTCCAGGAGGGGGAGGGGGGGGGGGGGGCAAACATCTTCACTTCTGTACAAATATACAGCCGCACACTTTAATATTCTCAGATTTTCAGAATAAAAGCTGCTTCAGAGGACACTCAGCGTCGGCCTCAAAGCGTTTCCTGGGAATCAAAAGAACACTTGAACCTGTTGATGTAATAAAATGTCCAGAGCTGCAGAGACTCACTCCAGCATCCATCTAGATGGTCTGGTTAGCTTTGTTCATGTGAATATGTTCTAATAGTTTGAACCCTTTAATGAAAGCGCTTCACATGACGGACATCAGACATGTGACCCATCCGCCCTGTGGACCCCCCCCACAGCCCCCACAGCCCCCACAGACCCTCCCCACAGACCCCACAGACCGCACAGACCCCCCCCCCCACAGCCCCCACAGTACACTTCTATACTTCGTCACTGTGTTTGTTTTACATCAATATAAATCAGAAAGGACATTTTATTACATCAGCGGGCAACTATTTCATATGATTTGTTTTTATAAAAAATCAGGTTAAGTGCATTATCTTTTCAGCTGTTGACATGTTCAGTGGTTCTTCCTTGATAATGGCGCGGGCCTCACTGATGATGATTCAAAGAGGAGGAAGTTATAACTGGAGAGAAACCAGATCAAACCTCTGCGTTATGAAACACTGAGAGCAGAGGAAGTGGTGGTGAGACGACAGGAAGCTGCAGAACAACGGGAACAGAATGTAGGGAGTATCTGATAAAGATCAAAGCTGTAATTATGACTATATCAGAGTGACACCACACTATACACAAAGCAGGAGGAACCATGTTAGGGTGAGGACTGATGTGAGGCTGTGGCAGACCTCAGGAGAGGAGTGTGTGTGGTTCTGAATCCACCTGAGTCTGATCCGAGTCCCTCCGTCTGCACCGAGTCTGATCCGAGTCTGATCCGAGTCTGATCCGAGTCTGAACCGAGTCTGATCCGAGTCTGAACCGAGTCTGAACCGAGTCTGAACCGAATCCCTCCGTCTGAACCGAGTCTGATCCGAGTCTGATCCGAGTCTGATCCGAGTCTGAACCGAGTCTGATCCGAGTCTGATCCGAGTCTGATCCGAGTCTGAACCGAGTCTGATCCGAGTCTGAACCGAGTCTGCACCGAGTCCCTCCGTCTGCACCGAGTCCCTCCGTCTGCACCGAGCCGTATTCTGCCCGGCACCAAAACCAGTCCGACACGTTGACCTGGACTTTATGGCATCGACTGCGCAGAGACTCTACCGAGACTTCTGACCCTTAATAACAGACCTCAGAGAAGGGTTCAGCTGCAGCCAGTATATACAAACATTTATAAATACTTTGTTACTGTACTTACTACATACTGCAGGATATTTTCCTGGTCTCAGTACTTTCCTCCACCATTCAGTTTGAATCACAACTTTTTACTTTTACTCCTTACATTTTTACCACAAGTACCTGTCCTGTGAAAGTAGAAGTACTCAGGTCTTGTACTTGAGTAAAAGTAGAAGTACTCAGATCTTATACTTGAGTGAAAGTAGAAGTACTCAGATGTTGTACTTGAGTGAAAGTAAAAGTACTCAGATCTTGTACTTGAGTGAAAGTAAAAGTACTCAGATCTTGTACTTGAGTGAAAGTAGAAGTACTCAGATGTTGTACTAGAGTAAAAGTATAAGTACTCAGATCTTATACTTGTGTGAAAGTAGAAGTACTCAGATCTTGTACTTGAGTAAAAGTAGAAGTACTCAGATCTTATATTTTAGAGTTGATTATATTTCACATCATTAATCCACATCTGTAAAGTAACTAAAGGTATTAAATACATATATTGGAGTAAAAGTACACCATTTACCTCTAAATTGTAGTGGAGTAGAAGTACACAGTAGCATAACATTTAAGTACCTCTAAATTGTACTTAAGTAAATGTAACACAAAGACAGAATCAAAATGTGAAATAGAAGTTATTTAGTGTTCTAATAATAAAAAACATAGCTATGGCTTCTTTTTATTTAAGTACACACTCCTGTACTTCTACTCGAGTAAAGAAGTTGAGTCAGTACTTGTACCAGAGTATTTTAAACACGAGTATCTGTACTTGTACTTGAGTACAGCATGTGTGCGTCTCTGCTACAGCCTCACATCAGCTTCCACTCCTGACTCTTCATATCTTCTGCAGGTGTGTGACCTCTGACCTCTGACCTCTACACATCTACTACAGTCCTCTGCATCATCATGCTGGGATGATAACGTGGTGAAGAAGAGTCCAGATCTCCAGGTCCCAAACACGTGTACACCCTGCTGTAGATTCATCTTCCCCCAGCAGCTCCCTGTCCTCTGGGTAGATTCGGTTTCCTGTCAGCAGCGTTTCTTCATTCAGAGTTTTTTTTAGTTTGACGGACATGCGATGAACTGCATGACAACAACAGCAAGATGGGGAGGGGGGCAACTTTTTTTGTTATTATTGTTTTTTTTCTTAAATGATACTTGAAGCATTCCTTTCCGCCTCCTCGTCGACACACAGGGAGACTCGGAGTTCTGTGTGTGTGTGTGTGTGTGTGTGTGTGTGTGTGTGTGTGTGTGTGTGTGTGTGTGTGTGTGTGTGTGTGTTGGGGGGGGCTGTTCACACCTGGCATTAACAACAACACATTAGCATTAGCATTAGCACCTCAGTCCCACCTTCTTGCAGACTAAATGTTGTGTTGTTAAAGATAGCGGAGTTAGCAACAGGCTATCAGAAGAAGAGGGAAGCCTACATTTGATGCTCCGGGGTGTTGGACACACACACACACACACACACACACACACACACACACACACACACACACACACACACACACACACACAGCTACAGAGGAAGCATTAGCATCTTCAGAACTTATTTTACAATATATGTATATATTTATAGGGATAAAGGGAGGCCACGCTGCCAGAGATTAAGAAGTCAATCCCAGTTCAAGGCCACGGTAAAAAAAACAGAACGATAAGTCCTATGTACCTTTATCA